GTTTGAGGAGGATAGGTGTTAGTTTTTCGTTGCATGTTTGGTAAAATGCCCCTGTGAAGCTGTCCAGACCAGAGCTTTCCTTTGCTGGAAGTTTTTGTATTATTCCTTCAATTTCATCAATAGTTATCAGCCTAATAAGTTTTATGATTCTTCTTCATTGAATTTTGGAAGATTTTATTTTTCTAGGAATATGGCCATTTCATCAAGGTTGTACAGTTTATTGGAGTAGAGTTGTTCATAGTATTTTTTTTTTTACAATCCTTTGTATTTCCGTGGGGTCAGTTATTACTTCACCTCTTTCATTTCTGATTTTATTAATTTGGGTCCTCTCTGTTTCTTGGTGAGTCTGGCTAGAGGTTCATCAATCTTGTTTATCTTTTTGAAGAACCACCTCTTGGTTTTATTGACCTTTTGTATTTTTTATTTGTATGTTATTTATTTCCATGTTATTTATTTCCACTCTGATCTTTATTATTTCTTATTTTAAATTCTCACTCGAGCATATTTTTTTCATTGATTTTTAGAGAGAGTGGAAGAGATAAAGACAGAGAGAAATAATTATTTGAGAGAAACACAATGATTAGTTGCCTCCTGCATGAGACCTGATCAGGGACTGGGCCAGGGAGGAGCCTACAACAGAGGCACATGCCCTTGACCAGAATCGAACCTGGGACCTTTCGGTCCACAGTCCAATGCTCCATCCACTGAGCCAAACAGGCCAGGAAAATGATCTTTCTTATTTTATTCTTTCTACTTACTCTGGGCTTTTCTTGTTGCTCTCTTTCTTATTCTTTGTTGTAGGGTTAGATAACTTACTACGTTTTTCTTGTTTCTTGAGGTAGTGCCTACCTTCATCTCAGCAATGCTTTCACTGTGTCTTATAGATTTTGGATTGTTGTGTTTTCATTGTTATTTGTTCCCAGGAGGTTTGTTTTTCTTCTCTGTTCTCATTTGTAACCCATTCATTGTTTAATAGCATTCTATTTAGCCTCCATATGTTTGATTGTTTTTTTATTGTAGTTGATTCTAATTTTATGTCATTGTGATCTGAGAAGATGCTTGATATGATTTAAATCTTCTTGAATTTGTACAGACTTGTCCTGTGTCATAACATGTAGTCTGTCTTTGAAAATGTCCCATATGCACTTGAGAAGAATGTATATTCCATGGCTTTGAGGTGAAATGTTCTGAAGTTGTCAGTTTCATCTGATCTAGTGAGTCATTTAGGATTGCTGTTTCCTTGATGATTTTGTCTAGATTTATCCAATGATGCCAATGAGGTAATAAAGTCCCCTGTTATGATTTTGTGTTGCCATCAATCTATCCCTTGATATCTTCCAGAAGTTTTTTTTAATGTATTTTGATGCTCCTGTATTGGGTGCATATGTTTATCAGAGTTATAGCCTCTTCTTGTATTGATCCCTTTAGTATTATGAAGTGGCCTTAATTATCTCATTATAGCCTTCACTTTGAGGTCTATTTTGTCATATATAAGTATTGCTACCCCAGCTTTTTTTTTTCCATTCACCTGAAAAACCTTTTCCATTCCTTTACTTTCAATTTGTGTGAATCCTTTGTTCTGAGGTGGGTCTCTTGTAGACAGCAAGAGTCATGTTTTCTTATCCATTTAGGTATCCTATGTCTTTTGATTGGAAAACTTAATACATTTATGTTTAAGGTTATTACTGGTAGGTACTTGTTTGTAGCCATTTTTATTCTTTATGCCTGTGTTCCTCCCTCTCTATTTCTTCTTCGTACAATAGTGCCTTTAAGATTTCTTGCATTGCTGGCTTGGTTATAATAAACTCCTTTAACCTTTTTTTGTCTGTGAAGCTCCTGATTTCACCTTCAATTTTGAATGATAGCCTTGTTGGATAAAGTAATCTTGGATTCAGTCCCTTGCTTCTCATTACTTTGTATACTTTATGCCACTCCCTCTGGCCTGATACATTTCTATTGAGAAATCAGTTGATAGTCTAATGGGATATCCCTTGTAGGCAAATTTCTGTTTCTCTTTTGCAGCCTTTAAGATTCTTTCTTTGTCTTCAACATTTGCCAATTTAATTATGATGTGTCTTGGTATGGGTCTTTTGGGATTCATCTTGTTTGAGACTCTCTGTGCTTCCTGGTCTTGTGTGAATTTTTTCTTCCCAAAGTCAGGAAAATTTTCTGTCATTATTTCTTAAAGTAGGTTTTCTATTCCTTGCTCAGCTTCTTCTCCTTCTGAGACCCCTATTATGCAGATGTTGCTTTGATGTTGTCTGGAAGCTTCCTTAAACTCTCCTCCTTTTTCTTTTTACTTTTTAAAGTCTTTATTGTTGAAAGTATTACGTATGTCCCATTTTCCCCCATTGATGCCCTCTAGCCTGCCCCCACCCCTGGCCCCAGGCTTTCACCACCCTACTGTCTGTGTCCATGGGTTATGCATATATGCATACAAGGTCTTTGGTTGATTACCTCCCAACCACCAACCTCCCCCCCCCCAACACACCTTCTCTTTTAGATTCTGCACTCTGTTCCATGTTTGCATGTCTTTGGGTCCACTCCATTCATCAGTTTATTTTGTTCATTAGATTCCACATGTGAGTGATATCATGTGATACTTGATACATAGGGGTGCATACATCTTTCTGATAGGTGTTTTGGGTTTCTTAGAATATATTTCTAGAAGTGGGATCACTGGGTCAGATGACAGTTCTGTATTTAATTTTTTGAGGAAACTCCAGATTGTTTTCCATAATGGTTGCACCAGTCTGCTTTCCCACCAGCAGTGTACTAGGGTCTTCTTTTCCCAACATTCTTGCTAGCACTTGTCATTTGTTGATGGTAGCCATTCTGAAAGGTGTGAGGTGATGCCTCATTGGCATTTTAATTTGCATTTCTCTGACGATCAGTGACTTTGAGTATTTTTTCATATGTCTCTTGGCTCTCTGTATATTCACTTTGTAAAAGTGTCTATTTAGGTCCTTTGATCATTTTTTAATTGGATTGTTTGTCTTCCATTTGTTAGGTTGTATAAGTCTTTTATATTCCTCCTGCTTTAATTTTTTTCCAATTGCTGCTCTGAGTGTCTTTTTTCCTACCCTGTCTTCTAACTCACTGATTTGTTCCTCAGCTTCATATAGTCTACTGATGAACCGTTCCAGGGTGTCCTTTATTACAGTTACGTCATTCTTCATTTCTCCTTGATTCTTATCCATTTTGGTGTATTTCCTACTCAGCTCCTTATAATTTTCATTCAGTTGCTTGTAATTCTCAGACAGATGTTTTAGCATCTTTATAACCACTACTTTGAATTCTTTACCTCACAAATTATTTGCCTACATTTCATTTAGTTCCTTTTCTCATGATTCCTCCTTATTCTTTCCTTTGTGGATTGTTTCTTTGTCTCCCCCTTTTTTCTATCCCTTTGTATTTGTTTCCATGTCTTAGATCAAATTGCTATGTCACCCAGCTTTTTTGGAGGTACGCTTATGTAGTAGGTATTTTGTGGAACCCAGTGGTACAGTCTCTATCTCCTGAGCTGGGTGTTCTAGAAAATCCCCCTATTTGAGTCATTTGGGTTCTCCTGATGCAGTTGGGACTTGAATGTTATTGTCCCATTTGTGGATGGAGTCTCCTTACAGGTTGTCTGACTATGTGGCTCACCCCAACCTTGCCATGCAAGCTGCTGTGGATGTGCTCAGGGTTCTAGCTCCCAAAGCAAGAGTCACCTGCAAGGTCCCACTGGCATGCAACTCACTGAACAGTCCTGGAGCTTGCACCAGGGTGACCAGTGACTCTGTGACTCACTGTGGGGATCCTAGAACCCATGGAGAGGGTCTCTTTCTAGGTCCTGCTGGTATGCTGCTCACTGCGCAGGTGCAGTGGGTCTAAGGTAGTGTCCAATGCCAGTCTGGTTGGTGGTGGATCTGTAATCTTAGCCACCACTGCTCTCCCCCTTCAAGATGGCATGGTTTCCATGCCATCGCCATGGCCTTCCAGGAAGTGCCTGTGGCAATAACAGGGGCTCTTTGTCCAGGAGAGTCTGATCTGCCAGCCCCTGAGACTCCTGTGAAATCTAACTGTCCCTCATAGACAAACACACAAACCATGTACATTCACACATTCCCCTCTCACTCCCTTACTCATTCACACTCTCACCCTCACTCCCATCCTGCCAGCCATTATGTTCTATTACTTTACTTTTTATTGGTTTTATCAAAGTTAGAAGGTGTGAGGGTAAAGGTTTGCCTCGTTTTCTTGTAGGAAAAATTATACTTTTCAAAGAAGAATTGAGGAGAGGAATAATACTACCATATGATTTAAAAATTAACCTCATGGGAACCTGTTTGGCCTCATGTCTTTTATGGCACTCCATGAACACAAGGACCATATCTTATTTCTGATGTTGCAGTACTTACTTCTTGGTACATGTGCATATAAGTGCTTGCTTGAATGAATAAAAATTAGCCTTCTGATTCTAGTTCCTCTAAATATGGAAAAAAATGCTCATATAAAAATCAAGAGATATTTATTGTTTGGGTTGCCTAGAATTGGCAAATCTGTCCCTTTAAATGGCTTGTATTCCCTCAAGAAACTTCCCTGTGCTCCATAAAGTGAGCACAAATTTCTAGCAGGCATCACAGATCTTCTCCAAAGCACTGTGCAGTGGGTATCTCTGGGGAAGATGCTCTGGCACAAAATGATAATAAATCACAATAAAATTATATTAAACATAGAAAATCATACTTTCCCCTCCTTCAAAAAATAAATTGCCCATGAAAATTTACCAGTCATGAAAGTGAAAGTGATGGGAATTCCTGAAATACACTGGAAGCAGGCTGAAAGCTAGAAAAAGTAATTCCCTCTATACTCATATAGTTTTATATGGAAGAGTCAGCATTTCAGCGTAGCTTTTTCCTAGTACATTTCAAATAAGAACATATCACTGTCTCATGTATCACAGATAATTTCATTTCCCATGAGGTATCATCTAAAATGACCTAAAACAAAATTACCCCTTCACAAAGCTATCTGAAGTGCCTCCTGACTTCACCACTGTCAAATTCTTTGCCTCTTTGATGAGCACTTCTAGAGTTCCTCCAGAGAGTACAGGTGGTTTCTTCTTTCCCCTTTTAAAGGTCTTCTTTCCTGTGTGAGCTATCAAAATGAAAGGGAGAGAGAGAGAGAGAAGGAGGGAGAAGGAGAAGAAAGACAAACATTGATTAGTTGCCTTCTATATGCACCCCAACTGAGTATTGAACCTGTAACCCAGATATGCGCCTTGACTGGGGATAAAATTTACTAATACTAAGATTTATTTCATTTACTAATTGAACCAGGCCTTAACACATAGTTACCTTTTTATTAGGTTTGGTGAGAACACTTAAGATTTACTCTTTTAGCTAAGTTCAAATATACAATATAATACCTTTAGGTATAGATACCATGCTGTACATTAGATCTCCAGAACTTATTCTGCCCTAAAGTGAAAGTGTGTACCCTTTAAGCAACTTCTCCCCATTCTCCCCTTGCCCAAGCCCCAGGTTACCACTGGTTTACACTCTGCTCCTATGAGTTTGACTTTTTTTAGATTTCACATATAAGTGAGGTCAGACAGTATTTTTATCAATTAGATCTCAATAATGCTGGGGAGGGGAAATAAATTTTATGCTATGATTCTAAGGCCTTCCAGGGTTTGCGAGGAAATCCCCCAGAAAGATACATGATCTTCTTTGGGGGCGAACTTCATTTGAGGTTCTGTATCACTTTCCAACTATATATGAATTTAAGCTAAGGTGGATTGTATTTTGACACAGTGACCATGAATATTGAATTTTCCAAAACTACAGTTTCACATTAATAACAATAATATTTCAGATTGCAGACTTAAGTATGGAACAGATATCTTAATATTATTGTATATTTTTCCATGCATTTATTTAATTTATTTTTACTCTGTTGGATTTCTTCTAGATAGGTCTTTCATTTGTGTTTGTTGGGAAAAATAAACAAATAAATTTAAAACTTTAAGTACTACCCGGCAAAGTATCTTTTCACAGACTATAAAAGAATAAAATGCAAATGATCCTGAGAGTTGCCTGAGC